TTTTTTTTTTTGCGGTACGCGGGCCTCTCACTGCTGTGGCCTCTCCCATTGCGGAGCACAGGCTCCGGATGCGCAGGCTTAGCGGCCATGGCTCACGGGCCTAACCGCTCCGCGGCATGTGGGATCTTCCCGGACCGGGGCACGAACCCGTGTCCCCTGCATCAGCAGGCGGACTCTCAACCACTGCGCCACCAGGGAAGCCCGATTCTGCCTTTTTTTTTTTTTTAAACCCCACAACTTATTTAGTGGTTAAATACCTGAAGTAACTAGACAACCACCATCTTGTCTCCGTTACACCTACTCACTGCTCAGATGCATCCATAAGGTGCTTTCTCTGGAGGCACAGAAGTAAAGCAAAAAGCTCTTGCTCCACCCCTCGAAACACAGAAGATGTCAGGGTTATAGCAAAAATGGAGTAGAGCCACAGAAATAACTGCAGGCATTAGCAGTTCTTGAGATAATTCAAGTAGGTGCAAATTACCCAACATTGAATACTCAGGCTGCGTTAGAAACTGAAGTTACCAAGCAATCCAGGAGGAAGAAAAAAATGCTACCCAGAGCTTATGCTACCAACAGGAAAGCCTGACTGTAGTGTAGGCAGCTTAATAAGCCACGACCAGGCACCCTCTTCATGCTTTTCTCCTAATACTAAGGGGATGGTGCCTTCCTGGGAATCTTCCACGGGAATCCAGGTGGCAGAAAGAAAATCCTCTTCACAATACTCACCAGATGGAAAATCAAGTTCTGTGCTGAATCAGCTAGAGAGCTGGGCCGTCTGAGGCCGCAAAACCTGAGGCTCCTAACAGCTAAAAATAGAGGTGTGTTGTAAAATTGGCCATGTGCTGGGTGGGGTCCATGATATTTCTGGAAAGTGTGAAACCTCAGAACTTCCTCCTGAGGAGGGGCAGTTTTACTATATTATTCAGCTGAGATTTGCCACCATAAGAAGCAAAGCTGGAGCTCAAACAACACACACCTTTCGGTAGGATAGAATATTTCCAAAATAAGGCAGAGGTCTCGGCCCAGGAATCCCCAGCTTCTTAAAACGTCCATGTGAATAAGTCCCATATCTGTAAAGTGAAAGAGGAAACCAGGTCACAGGAATTGTGGAATAGTGGTGCTGGAGCTGGCCAGTCACTGACTCAGAACTGGAACAGTCAACCTAAGGAGATAGCATGTAGGCAATAAAAAATACCAGCAGCTCCAAAAGCAATCATTACATTCACTCATCATCTCCTTGCCCACCACCAATACGAGACCCATTAAAGGTAATGACGATTAGCTAAAGGCAGCTGAAGTCTTCACAGTTCCAATCTTAGAGTGAATACTTTATAAATGTTTCTAATTGGAGTGGTCCTGAGAGGTTCAGGCTGGAATTCTTCCAGGGAATTCACTCATATTTATTTGGTAACTTGACTCTTAGATGATTTGGAGATTCTTATTCTAGGTAGAAAGGGAAAATTTCTTTTTCTGTTCCAATAATGAGATTTTGCTTAACTTCGTCTGCAAAACAACAGTTATTGAGAGCCTACTGTGACATTGTTCTTACAATTTGCATGGAGATTTTTATGCTTTTCTTTCCCTCTGTATCCTGACCCCATTTTAGGATTTAATTCTTCTTAAGTCCAACTTCATAATCAAGCCTTAGAGAATAACAGTGTCCTAATTTCTATAAAATACAAACTGTGTTCAAGGCTTCCATTGGCATCATAGAAATGTGAGCACCTTTCAGCTACACTCAAGTCTCTGTTGTCAGGCAATTTGCTTGATTTGCCCTACAGAGAAGGGTGACTGACCATATGTTCCCTCAATATAACTGTATAAGTGAACCAATGACTAGAGGAGCCATTTCCAGACCGTTCTTTCTCAAATGGTATCTGGTCCTCCAACCTGTGATACTCACCTGCTAAACACAGTACCAGGCACACTCGTTTTTTTCAAGATCCTCAATCACAGATTAGTTTGTTTACTGCCTCTGTGCGCCAACTACCTCAAAAAGCCATTAAGGCTGGTGCTTCCTACAGCTGGTGTACGTGAAACTCATCTTAATGTGCTCTGTGTGGAATCCCACAAATGGGGGGTTTGAAATCTTGCAGGTCTTCTCAGTCTGGTGTTTCTGAGAATTGACAGAGTGGAGGAAAAGAGAGGTTGAGGGGAAAAGGTTGCTGGCAATGGTTTTAGTGATGAAGTTGCTAGGCCGCCAAAACTAACTCTGTGGGGGCAAATTAGAAAGGTATGGCTGAAAAGTGTGCTGTGTAGAAATGCTTCAACACGCTCTGCAAGCCCTTTTAGCTAAAAGTGGGCCTTGCAAACTTCAGGTACCTCCCTGAAGACAGCAAAAGAGGCATTGTGCAACACAGAATGAATAACCATAAAATGTTGCAGAATGTTTGATTAAGACTTTTTTCTTCTTTGAAGCTTAGTTTTTAAGGTCTTACAGGTTCCAAATATTCTGTACAAATCCATCAAATCTTATGTGATAAAATAAACCCAAAAATTGCCTGAAAGAAACTGTGCTTGAAGAGGCAGCAGAGGCACTTTGGCCAAGCCCAGCTGGGTGTTTAGATCCTTCCTCCAGAAAAGTTGGTGCAGGTGTGAGCACCAACTTCCAAAATGGGAGTGACTTGGGCTATTCCAACCCCAGTTCCTTCCTTCGCCTTCACAACCAGGGCAAATCAATTTCCCTTTCTGAACTTTCAACGTGTTACATGACCTCTCAGATTTCTATGCTGATGCTAAAGTTCTCAGAGACGAGAGGAAAAGCTGAAAGAAATGAATATAATTTCAAGATTTCTGCCAAGTGTCCTCTCCTCTAAAGATTTCTCATTTGGGGGTAGATAGCTCTGCATAGTACAGGGTGGGGGAATTGAGCCTTGGAAGAGGATGCCATAGGAGGGACACAGGAAAGGGGGAAGAGCTGATATGAAGTGAAGGGCGATCAATTTCCAGCCCCTGGGTGACAAGGTGCCCTGTGTAAATGACATCTGGGGAGGGAGGGAAGGAAGCAGGAACCCCCCTGAGTGACACAGGGGCCAATCCTTCTACACGGCTCTTGCAGCAGATACTGAACCCAGAAGGTGAAGATCAGGAGACAAATCCCAAGTTACTTCATGCCTCCAGGATCCCCAGAGCTTGGGAAGGGGACAGCACCCCACTGCGCAGGGACCAGTTGTTTTAAATCTTCCCCTGGTGGATTCTGGTTGATTAGTCTGGGTCCATGGTAGTCAGTCATCCCCAGGAGCAAATAACATCACTAAACCCTCCTAGCTACAGAAGATAAAAACTTGGCGGGGTGGTGGTAGGGAGGGTGTTTTTTGGTTACTCGTTCAACAGAACTGGGTTAAGATCGATAATAACCCCTTTGGTGTTTGTAGCACCCACAGCTTAAGCAACTTTCCCTCCACTAACTGATCCTCAAAACAGTAAAGGGAAAGTGGGACCTGATGAGCACCCCAAGTCCAAGGTTACAGAGGAAATCAGAATCACAGATACTCACAGATAGAGGAGTACCAGGCTGGTAGCCAGGAGAACCCAGGTTTCCATGGAAAAGCTCAGGATCAGGTCCATGGCCACTCTCCTCGGTGATTCTCTCCTCTGAGTTTCTTCTCAGCTGCGTGTGTCACTCTTTGCCTGCCTGCTTCCTTTCACATCCAGGGATGATTCACTGAGGCTGAAATGTTTATGTCCTGGGAAGGTGGTGGAGCTGGAGCTGCAGCCAATAGAAGGGCTACCTGTGCTCCACCTGCATGAGCCCTCCCTGCCTTGATAGTTGGCATCACGGACAGTCCAGTTTGACCTCCCTTGACTTCATATTCTGTGGCCATTCAGTAACAACTCAATCAGTGTTATCAGTAATTTCAAAGGTTATAGAAACTCAAATAAAACCACTAGCCACAAATATCCTCTAAACTGCCCTTTTCTCTGTAACTGCCTGAACTCCAAAACTTGAAATCCTTCAGACATGCTAGGTCTACTAATCTTTACCACGCAGTTTCCTCTGCCTAGATATCCTCGTTTCCCCATAAGGCACCTACTCATCCTTCAAATCCCAGCTCAGAAAGCACATTGTTTTAGAGACTTCCCTAAACAATAGGAATAACCACTTCCTCTTCTGGATGACTTCTGTCGTGCCCCCCCCAACACACACACACGCGCACACACACACACACGCACACACACAATTCTATTATTGTCCTTCTATCCTCCAGAACCATTGTTGGTTTCCACACCTATTTCCCTTAAGAGATTGAGAGTTTGGGCTACAGTCTGAGTATTAGTCGCCCTTATGCCCCTGGTACCTTGCAGAATGCTTTCTGCAGCATGGACATCGGAAAGGTTGGTGGACTTGAGTTGGTAGTAGTGAGAACTCTGGGCCCCTGTGTGTCTGTTTCCTGTGGCTATTTGGTGACCGCATCATCTTCCTGTATCGTTAATACAACAAGAGGGCCTGGCTGTGCCTTGGCCACCATCACTGCACGTTCAGGATGATCCATCAGGGTTCTGTTGACAAGAGGGCCCCCAAAGGAGAGACAAGACATGGACCATGTGGTGATGGCTGCACCAAGGGTATCCATTCAGTCTTCCTGTCCCGCCCCTCAGAGGGTCCTTCAGTGGACAGCAGTTACACAGATTCTTAACGAAAGAATGACCCCCTCTCTCTGGAAAGGCCACAAGTGCAAAATCAATGAGGGTGAAGGGAGTGAAGCGGAGAAAGCAGCCCAGTGACCAAGTGGACCTCCAACCTCCTTATCCACCAGTGATGTGGCACATACAGCAAACAAGACTCCATAAAGAAAACATGAGGTTTTTCTATGGGGCAAAGTGGGGGGAGGGGGGGTCAGAGCAGATGCTTCCTTATCATTGACTAGATGGAAAATATTTAAGGGGTAGCAAGGTGTTACTAAGGAGGAGGTCTGTAGTAGAAGTCAGTGGCATCTGTGAGCCCCCACCCCATTCCTCATGGGAGAAATTAGAGGACTGAGGGTCTGAAATTTACACTGGTTCATTGTCTTCCCTCTGACCAAAATGCTGTATCTCCTTGGTCTGAGAAACTGTGAATTATATGAAAAACAAAACCTCAAAAGTTCTTAAACTCAATAGGAACACAGGACGTTTAAGCTGTGTTTGTGCACTTCCTTCTCCCTTTATCCTTCTCATTTTCAGTCCTTCTGGAGCAAGCGATACTCACCTCTTGCCAATACATTCCATCCCTCTGGCCTGAAAGTCCCCAGGGTTGCCCAACACTGGCCTGAGTGGGTGGAGGTCTCATTGGTAAATTATAGTAAGTCCCAACTATGTCACCTGCCTTTTTTATTTCCTTGGGACCTTGTCATGCAACATGAAATTTCTACCATCATAGCTTGTCAACTTTGGGTTCAGACTTTCTCCAGGAGGCACCTGTTAAAATCCATAGCTGCCACTGGAAATACAATGCCTGAATATATCTGTTCATCCACGCATTGATTCAAGGCCAAGTGGGTGAATGTCAGGTGCAGGTATTGCGCTGGGCTGGGGGCTAGAAGCCCATACAGTCCCCTACCTTGAGAGCAGCTTCCCAGAGGAGGGAGTGAGACACACAACCAAGGTTAGTATGTAGCATACCTCTGGAACCTCTAGGATAATGGAGCCCTACAGAGAGGTCATGAAGGAGAGAAGTGGATACAAGCTTGAGTACCAACAAAAGACAGGCCTGGGAAGCTGGAAGATGATCCTGAGGAAAAGTAGCATAGAAAGTCCCACAAATTCTTATGCGTTTCTGCCCTCTTTCGGTACCTTCTCTGGGCGCTCTTAAGTAGGGTCATGATACAATCCCCAGTTTATAGATACAGAAACTGAGGCTCAGGGACTGCAGGTGGCTTCTCAACAGCTATTGATCACAACATGTCACATGTAAGCTAACATGAAGATAGATTGGCAAGTCTTCTGCACTGAAATGCCAGTATTCAACGTTTGCTGTTTCACGATGAGGGTCACTATGTGAAATAGTGAGACCCAAGACTACAACAGCAAATTGGTTACAATTCTGGCTCCTACCTCCATAGCTACCCCTGCCCAGGAGCTCCCCCACGGGTCTCCAGAACCAAGGACTCTATCTCACCTCACCGAGAATAAAGACAGGTGCAGGTTATGAGGACACTAGGGTCTTGTGTGTAGGATCCACCTCTCTATGTTCCCAACTGAGAGGAACACAAAATACATCCCACATGGGATGACTGGGGTGTCATCTGATAACTTCTGACAACTTAGTTCACTCAACTAAACCCACAGCCTTTCTTATTCTTCTTGGAAACAAAACCATTGTGGAAACTATATGCCTTCATCTTCCTCCAAAACATATACTGGGCTACAATGATTTTTCTCACTAAACCCACAGGACCATCTGCTGCCCTATTCGCCTCAGGGCCTGGTCCAGCTGGTTAGAATCTATCCCAGAGGCGATAGGCTAGTCATTGTTTAGGACTGAAATTTTGCAAGTACCCAGTTCTAATCAATGCAAATGGCCTTGCTCTGCGAGGGGAAATAATAGAAGGCATGATCTTTGTGCCCCTTCATTCCACAGCAGGGCACACCTAACTTAAAAGTCTGACAGACTAAGATTGTGAAGGAAGACGTGTGCCTGAATATCACCCCCCACCCCACATCCCTCATCTACTCATTTGTGCGCTAATGGGCTTGGCATGTACTTTCAAAGCTCTGTTCTCAGCGCTTAGGGTACAGATACAACTAAGACCCAGACAATAATCAGGTTGAAGATAGAGGCAAATAAACAGGTAATTATAGTACAGTATAACCCAGTTAAAGTAATTATAGAGATATAAGAAACACAGTGTCCTCATCAACTGTAAATGGCTTATCTGCTTTTTCAGTCCTGAGTAATCAAAGTTGAGTTAACAATTTTGTATTATAGTCTTGAAGGTTACTAAGAGAGTAGATCTTAAATGTCCTGACCACACACACAAAAACTGTAATTATGTGAGGTGATGAATATGTTAACTGACCTTATTTTGGTAATCATTTTGCAATATATACACGTACCAAATCAGCATGTTGTACACCTTAAACTTACAAAATATGTGTCCCTTTTTTACAAATAAGCAAACTGCAGCACAGAAAGGTTAAGTGACCAGCCAAGGACGCATAACTAACTACTAGCATAGCTGGGATTCAAACCTAGATCTTCTAGTTTTATAACCCAAGGTCTTAACTTTACCAGGCCCTTCCTTGCCCAAGAATTAGTGGAATGACTGGGTCTAGAGCCCAGGTCCTCTGAGAGGGTAGTGACCCAGAGCTCTGACCCAACCTAGAGACAAGGCAAGGCCCCCTAGCAAGCCTGTCAGTGGGGAGTGGGGTAAGGCAGGGCTATGCTCTTTCTGACCCACACATACCTCACCATGCAGAAAGCCCCGCTACACACCCCCTCCCCTATGCCCAGAAGCAGAAGCACTTTCATAGACTTTACAGCAAAGGGAAGAAGAAGAGGAAGACTTCCTCTGGCTGCTCACTTTCTCCACAATCCCAGAATTTTTATCATTATAAACTAACCACTAACATCTCTACTGCAAAGTACAGTTTATAAAGTTCTTTCGTGTCTCTCTTAATTGATCCTCATGAAATCTCTGTGAGGAGAGCTGTGAAGGAGGAAAAGTGTCCACACACTAGGAAGCCCCTTCGCGGGTGGAGACTTCGGGAGGCGGAGTGGGGGAGCTTGGGAGCCGCGGAGGAGAGCACAGCAACAGGGGTGCGGAGGGCAAAGCGGACAGATTCCAGCGCAGAGGATCGGGCCGACCGGAACTCACCAGCCGAGAGGCTTGTCTGCTCGCCCGCCGGGGCGGGCGGGACTGGGAGCTGGAGAGGACTGAGGTTGGCTGCGTGAACACAGCCTGCAGGGCGTTAGTGCACCGCGGCTAGCCGGGAGAGAGTCCGGGGAAAAGTCTGGACCTGCCGAAGAGGCAAGAGACTTTTACGTCCCTCTTTGTTTCCTGGTGCGCGAGGAGAGGGGATTAAGAACGCTGCTTGAGAGAGCTCCAGGGACGGGCGCGAGCCGCGGCTAAAAGTGCGGAGCCCAGAGACAGACATGAGACGCTAAGGCCGCTGCTGCCGCCACCAGGAGGCCTGTGTGCGAACACAGGTCACTAGCCACACGCCCTTCCGGGGAGCCTGTGCAGCCCGCCACTGCCAGGGTCCCGGGATCCAGGGACAACTCCCCCGGGAGAACGCACGGCGCGCCTCAGGCTGCAACGTCACGCCGGCCTCTGCCGCTGCAGGCCCGCCCCACACTCCGTGACCCTCCCTACCCCCCGGCCTGAGTGAGCCAGAGCCTCCGAAGCAGCGGCTCCTTTAACCCCGTCCTGTCTGAGCAAAGAACAGACGCCCTCCGGCGACCTACACGCACAGGCGGGGCCAAATCCAAAGCTGAGCCCCTGGGAGCTGTGAGAACAAAGAAGAGAAAGGGAAATCTCTCCCAGCAGCCTCAGAAGCAGCGGATTAAAGCTCCACAATCAACTTGATATACCCTGCATCTGTGGAATACCTGAATAGTCAACGAATCATCCCAAATTAAGGAGCCCTGTGGATGAAAGGCTCTTGGTGCTGCAGCCAGGAGTCAGTGCTGGGCCTCTGAGGTGGGAGAGCCAACTTCAGGACACTCGTCCACAAGAGGCCTCCCAGCTGCACATAATATCAAACAGCAAAAATCTCCGAGAGATCTCCATCTCAACGCCAGCACCCAGCTTCACTCAACGACCAGCAAGCTACAGTGCTGGACATCCTATGCCAAACAACTAGCAAGACAGGAACACAACCCCACCCATTAGCAGAGAGGCTGCCCAAAATCATAATAAGTCTACAGACACCCCAAAACACACCACCAGACGTGGACCTGCCCACCAGAAAGACAAGATCCAGCCTCATCCACCAGAACACAGGCACTAGTACCCTCCACCAGGAAGCCGACACAACCCACTGAACCAACCTTAGCCACTGGGGACAGACACAAAAAACAACAGGAACTACGAACCTTCAGCCTGCAAAAAAGGAGACCACAAACACAGTAAGATAAGCAAAATGAAAAGACAGAAAAACACACATCAGATGAAGGAGCAAGATAAAAACCCACCAGACCTAACAAATGAAGAGGAAATAGGCAGTCTATCAGAAAAAGAATTCAGAATAATGATAGTAAGGTTGATCCGAAATCTTGGAGATAGAATGGACAATAGAATGGACAAAATGCAAGAATCAGTTAACAAGGACCTAGAAGAACTAAAGATGAAACAAGCAACAATGAACAACACAATAAATGAAATTAAAAGTACTCTAGATGGGATCAATAGCAGAATAACTGAGGCAGAAGAACGGATAAGTGACCTGCAAGATAAAATAGTGGAAATAACTACTGCAGAGCAGAATAAAGAAAAAAGAATGAAAAGAACTGAGGACAGTCTCAGAGACCTCTGGGACAACATTAAACGCACCAACATTCGAATTATAGGGGTTCCAGA